TCTAAGACATAACGAGCCCTTGGGGTATTACACTTCATATACCTTACAGAGAAAACATCTTATGGCTGGCGGGGCGGTCGGGTTGCCTAGTGGTTAAAGCGTTCGCTCGTCACGTCGAAGACCCTGGTTCGATTCCCGACATGGGTACAATGTGTGAAGCCCATTTCTGGTGTCCCCCGCCGTGATATTGCTGGAATAGTGCTAACAGCGGCGTAAAACCATACTCACTCATTCTTATGGCTTGCAATATAAATTGTTTTCTTATCATTCTTGTTGACACTATCTATCAAATGTATGTCGATTACAAAAATGTAATTGTATTTAATAATACTGTTCAAAGTTGCTGAAACTGAAAACCCATATCAAGCTCTCTTTCTCAAAGTGTGTGATGTAAAATGTGTGGCTTAGCCTATATGATCAACTCATTCCTTCTCTCGGTAGATTTAAGTGTTTCCGTTTTGCAAGATGCCATTGTCTTACAGTGCCACAGTTTACAGGAAGTGTTCAGTAAAGAAACCACAAGGATTTATTAACCAGGTGGTGAAGATATAGGTGATACTAAATCCGTACGTCACACGTGTGTCGTACAAGGTTGACCTCGTTTTATTCGTTTTGATTGGACGTCATTCGCTTTCTCAACTGCTAGGCAGAACTAAAGGAATCTTACGAAAGCGAGAGACATTTACACACACTTTATTAAACCAAACAATATCGTCACACGCATTAAATTTGCTTTGCATTTTTTATTAGTTATCCATAGAGTTATTACAGACATTATATAATCGAGCCTTATCCATATGCAATGTCTACCGATGGATCAAAGGTCCAAATGAACGTGAAGCACCCGACCACTTTCGTAATTTTCAATTTGATTTATCCTTAAAGGTTAAGCGTGGTGAAATAAACACGGCGAGCTGTATCTATACGCGAATGTGACTGGATCTGCGGGTACACGGCGAGCTGTATCTATACGCGAATGTGACTGGATCTGCGGGTACACGGCGAGCTGTATCTATACGCGAATGTGACTGGATCTGCGGGTACACGGCGAGCTGTATCTATACGCGAATGTGACTGGATCTGCGGGTACACGTCGAGCTGTATCTATACGCGAATGTGACTGGATCTGCGGGTACACGGCGAGCTGTATCTATACGCGAATGTGACTGGATCTGCGGGTACACGTCGAGCTGTATCTATACGCGAATGTGACTGGATCTGCGGGTACACGGCGTGCTGTATCTATACGCGAATGTGACTGGATCTGCGGGTACACGGCGAGCTGTATCTATACGCGAATGTGACTGGATCTGCGGGTACACGGCGAGCTGTATCTATACGCGAATGTGACTGGATCTGCGGGTACACGGCGAGCTGTATCTATACGCGAATGTGACTGGACCTGCGGGTACACGGCGAGCTGTATCTATACGCGAATGCGACTGGATCTGCGGGTACACGGCGAGCTGTATCTATACGCGAATGTGACTGGATCTGCGGGTACACGGCGTGCTGTATCTATACGCGAATGTGACTGGATCTGCGGGTACACGGCGAGCTGTATCGATACGCGAATTAAATTTTAACCGAGAACAAAGCTAACTACAGCCGATTATCCAGTATTTATCATATTCCAGGATGGTTCAAAGTAGCAAGAACTATAAAACTAATGTGATTGGGAATATATATTTCAGCCGACCTTAAAGGATTTTCCATAATTAGGACAATTCAGAATGAATGAAAGATGAGTCATTGTCATTTGAAATGGTTAACCATCTCACATGTGTGTTGTTTTTAAGTTAGGTTTAACCATACCCCACGGTTACTGCATCGGTGTAAGGTAACAGTATCGGTGTGGTTCTGACTGAGATTCGACCAGGCGATCGAATCAGGCACTGTTAAGGGACGCAAATCTGCACTGCCAATTGCGGCGGCGCCTTAGACGACTTGTCCATTCTTCCGCCGAGGTAAATAAGCAACTATGGAATCCTTAAAGGGACATTGTCGTGTTGTAGCACATTTTAGATGGGCCGACAATGCTACAACGCGAAATTTGTCCTTGAACTAAAGCCCCGTTGTCGCATTTTCGCCCTTTGGTAAAGGCAAACATATTCAAAGCGCGACTATGTGTCAGTGCGACAAAAATGGCCAATATATCGCGTTGTCGCTTTGGTTAAGTTTGACACGTTTTGCCTGTTTTTGTAAGACGACATCGCGACAATGTCCCTTCTAGGATTCCATAAGAAACCAATGGCAAGGTGATACAACCTGCTGAGCACATACCACACCAACAGACAATCGGAGCAGCCCATTAAGTTGCGTCTTTGCTTCTCTACACGCAAGAACGCCATTGCATTGCATTATGTTTGGTAAACATTTCCACACACCTACTGTAAATACATGCATTTAACGACATCGGAACATTCATTTCTAATGTGCTTACATAATTATGAAAGAGTGGACTCCCCCGGGGGATACTAGGCTAGGTACCTTTGCTTGTAAAAGGCAACTGAATGGATCGGGTATTAAGACGTCGGAGTGAGTGAGTGAGTATGGTTTTACGGCGCTTTTAGCAATATTCCAGCAATATCACGGCAGGGGACACCAGAAATGGGCTTCACACAATATACCCATTTCGGGAATCGAACCCAGGTCTTCGGCGTGACGAGCGAACGCTTTAACCAGTAGGCTACCCGACCGCCCCTAAGACATGGGACGTTGCTCATAATATCGACTGGTTTCGCCTGGTTCAGACGCCCAGGTCGATGTCATATAGCAGTGTTAAACAAGTTTGTTTTTAAAAGTACTAGTAAATAGCTGGCTTCAATGGGGATGGGGTGGTCAGGTTCTGTTACTCGGCTAATTGCGTGTCATTGTACCCTGATTGCATGGATTGTTGGTCATTGCTTTCAGTCAATGGTCTACCTGGTCCACACGCGACCATAAACAGTTCCGGGCTTTACCGGCAAGCATGGGTTGCTGAAGACCTATTCTTACCCTGATCTTCACGGATCCCACCCCACGTAACAAGGTTTCATGACATGCTCTTCAGCTGAAGATTCAATGTTTCGGAGGCATATATATCTGTTTATAGAAGATAACTATACTCACACGCAAAAGAAACGCAAGTGGTTTTAAGCAAATAGGTAAAAAACATAAATTGATACAAGTTTTAGCATGTAGTGAAGCCTGATGGTGTTATCAATATTTTTGGTTGCATTTTGGAAGCCCCGAGTAAAAACGCAACATAAGAAACGAATCGCCAAAACGCACCATTTCAATGAATATGTGGGTAGCATGCACTAATTTCTCGCGAAATCGAAAATGCACGAACTGTCACGAACTGTAGTGGGTATAAAACTGTGGCCGATTCTTGGACCTACCACTCCTTGGTCAACAATGCCACGCCTAACTCAAATTCAGAGAAACCTGGCTATCGGACGTTTGGAAGCTGGAGAGTCTGTCCAAGATGCTGCCCGTCATTTCAACGTTAACATAACCACAATTTACTGTCTCCAGCATCGATACAATGCTACACAGACCACAGATGACCTTCATCGTCCTAGGGTCACCACACCTCGACAAGATCGGCAGATTACCCGTCAACACCAGCGACATCCGTTCCTAACTGCAAGTGAAAGTGCTCGACAGACCATAGGAACACATAATCGACACATTAGCCGGGACACTGTGATCCGACGTCTCCGTTCCAACAACCTCAGATGTCGCCGACCAGCACGTCGTCCTGTTCTCCAACCACGGCATCGACAAGCACGACTTCAGTGGGCACAGGGTCATCGCAATTGGCGTCATCGTGAGTGGAGGCGTGTCATCTTCTCTGATGAAAGTCGCTTTTGTGTCTCCCAAGCAGACGGAAGAGTCAGAATTTGGCGGCGTCGAGGTGATCGTTTCGCTGACAGAAACGTTGTGGAAAGGGAACCATGGGATGGACCTAGCGTCATGATATGGGCAGGGATTGGACTTAATGCGAGACTTGGACCCATGTGCTTTCTGAATGTTGGTCAAGGTCGGGGACACGGCGTCACTGCTCAGCGGTATATCGACCAAAAGATCAGACCCCACGTTGTTCCATTTTTTGTACATCAACAATACATTTTCTAGCAGGAAAACTCTCGTCCCCATGTTGCCATGGCCTTTCTACAACAACACAACATCCGAGTTCTACCGTTGCCAGCCCTCAGCCCGGATCTGAACCCCATCGAACACTTGTGGCATGAGGTTCAAAGGCGTCTGCACAATGTGCGCCCAGTCCCTACAACTGCCGATGAACTACGCTCTGGATGTGTGCAGGAGGATCCCTAGGGCCTTCACAAATCGTCTGATCCACTCAATGTACAGGAGATGTGTGGCAGTGATCAATGCTAATGGTGGTCACACCAGGTTTTGACTGACATTTTGGGTCGACCCGAAACTGTGTAAGCCCTTAACATTTGAAAAAAACCAATTATGTCATCTGCCTTTTAATCCATTAAACTGTCTTCAGTCAAATTTTTGTCAATCTTGCCCTATTAGTATTTCTTGTCTTTACTTAAATAAATATACTGCATACTCGACTGGCGTTTCTTTTGCGTGTGAGTATATATGCAAGCGGAAGTGTTTCTATGTTTTGTTAAGACCATTGATCAAAAGATCGATTTGTCAGTCAGTGTGCGACATGAAATACTCATATAAGCATCAAAGAAAGGTTATTTATAGGATTATGGCAAACTTCAAACGATATTTATTATATTGTTTTTGCATTTAGCGCAAAAAGTCTTTCTTTCGGGTCCTAATTGACTTCGGTTACCTCGAGGATTAATAAATACCACACGTGGGAACGGTGACAAGTAGGTTTAGTCAATATAAAAACATTTACTATTATCGCCATAGAGACTATTTATTGATCATGACAAATGACGACTACCCGTTGCGTCGCGTACACTTAATTACCCATCTGTGTCTCCCCTCTCAATGTCCCGTAGCAATAAACAACACATGCATTGTAGAAAATATACATTTTATTGCTCGATATACGATAAGTTATATTGTTCATTCTTGAACGCAACATACATGTCGTTGGAGTTATGATGTGTTGTGCTTCCCCCAAATTGACAAGGCTCATTCACCCATCATGGCAAAGTACAACATTTTAGCATTTCCTTACATGGATTATCAAATATAATGTTGATTCAGAGATGGGACAACCTGTTAATTAGTCCGGGGACGCTGAAGGCAATGTCATTAGTGTATGTGCCTGATGTAATTAGAGAGCTGGTACAGTTGATGTCCTTTTCAGTCTCTTAAAGACACATATTTCTCAAAGCGAGTTGGTGTATATGTCATTTTCTGCAGTATTTCTGCAATATTTTCGATGTCATTGTAATCGCAACTTCAGATTGACAACTTCTGGTTAAACGAAACATGAAAAGTATTTCATTTCTATCACATGGTGTAAGTTCAATGTGGGAGGAAAGTCTGAAGTCCCACGTTTACCAATTTCGAGATTCCTACGAGCACAGGTTTGATACTGACAGATCATAAAGTGCCAGACATGCGATGCCTTAAAGTACTGCCAAGAAGGCTAACAAGTTGGTGAAATCATGAGCATCGATCCATGTCTATATGGGTACACTGACACTAGATCTGCCAAACTGAAGTTGAGTATTGGTCTCAGGTACTTAGCAGTTACTCTGACAACCTGATGGATTTTTTTGTGTCTCTTTACAAAGCCAATCTGTAGGAGGGTTATTATCCAGTAAGCAGTTAAATAGGATTAGAATCATATCAGAGGAATGTCAAAGCGGAATTACTCGTCAAGCAGTACCACAATAAAACAACTGTGCTTAAAGACAAAATACCGAAACATCACCCCATTTGAATCTACAAGGGAATAAATTGTGTGTAAAATAAAAAAGTATCAAAAAGAGTAAAAAATGAATAAAATCATTTTCTATCAGAACTTATACACAACTACGTGACTTTTCTATGCAGAAAAATATCTGAAATTAAGATATTTCATTACAATGTCATTTTGAACGTTTTATGAATTCTCTGTTTCAATGAGATATGAAGTACATGATACTTTTACAAACTTGATTAACGTTAAATATGTTCCGACTTTCTCCAAATCTGAAAGATGATTCAGAAGAAGATCCTGTGGTCAGTATTTAAACTTACACCTCATGACTGACAACTGAAAATATGTCTAATACAAATCTATATGGCTTGTTTCGTTTCTGGAGAAAATCGGAATTCATAACTATCAACGCAGCAAAGAAAACACACATGAACCATATTTCACAACAAAGTTTCCATATATGAGATGACGAGTTACTGGATGAAAATTTACTTTATCACAACATGCATTGCTCAAACGTCCTATCCACAGCACACTCTATCAAAGATGTGTCAGTTGTTCCCCCTGCACATACAACTTACAGTACCCATGGAAACCTCGTTCACTATACCAGTGATAACAGCGAAAAAGGCATTATCACCGAGAGCCAGAACCGTCTTCACATTGGATTTGCAAACTTTTGTCTTTCATGTAGACGTGCCAGAAATGTATCGGAACATGCAAGAATGTTTTTGATCAATTGGTTTGCTAAATAAAATTCGATGCATGAGTACACGCGTTGATGCTACCATTGTTCATAGATACATCCCTTAAGTTTACGTCATTTTATTTAAATCGAATCATTTAATTATATTTTTCATAAAGACATCGAAAATAAGCAAAACACTTTGATGATGGAATGCTCTTTACCTGCTTGGAACATGTTACCTTTTGAAATTCGTTACACCTTAGATGATAACCTGTGTTACCAGTATAATCAACATCATCTTTAATCATTATTAATTCAACCCACAATAAGTGTTTTTGAACATATTAAGGTGAACACTTCAACACTATAACAATAACAATAACAACGATGTCATAGAACAGAGCATACAAATATAGGAATATTCGCTAAAAGGTTTCAACACGATCAACATGTTAATATCCATAGATACATCATAAATATATAAAACTGATACTTTGTATCAGCTAGTATGAATGACATTTGTTTACAATAAGAACACATTATGATATCAAAATGCTCCATTTTGTCCATTACTGAAATCCCAAGATACATGTGACTATTGATTTTACGAATGAGGTTTCAAGAAAGAGAGATATTCGTTCATAAAGCTCTACATTTACACTGAAGTTACAACTTACGGACATGCGCTTCAACTTTATGTTTTAAGGCATTACTCTGCATAAGATATGTCGAACCAATTGTCTCCAACTAATCAGCTTGTATATACTGTCATTTTAATTATAATTTGTTCCGATTCAATTTCTTATTTTTTTTTAAAAATAAGTTAACACAAATTATTTTTCAAAAGTAACTCGTGCCTTGATACCCAAATGAAGTGAAATGTGAGAAAATAATTGAAATAACGAAGGAATTGAACAATATAATTCCGTTCGGTTTGAGCACTTCTGTAGTTGTGAATTTGGTCAAAGCTTGTGATGTGTTCAGCAGGGAGGGAACGCTAAGGCACACAACGTATGCCATCATTTGGAATAAAAGACATGTCAATCTCTAGTCATCTCATCTGACGACGCCCCGGGCCAAATATGTCAGCATGTCACGTGAAAGGTAGGTGATGACATCACAGATTAGAGGAGGCGTTCATGTTCTCCTTCTTGCCCTCTTTAAAATAGTCACGTGGTATTGCCACAAAGGAGTCGTCTTGCACTGTTGACCGAAAACAAACTTATCTTGAAATTTCTTAATGTATGTATACCATAATTACAACTATTGCAGACCGTGTCAAAAGCTTTTCAGTCTACTAGCATGCAATTATCTGTTGACATCATTCAGCATATTGTAGTGGTAATATACATATAGACAATTTTGAGCTGAACGAACTAGACAAACGAAATGTTCTGGCTTAGGACCAGTTGCTGAAGCCGCAGACGGTTCACCATTCCAAGGTCGAATGCTGTTATCTGAACGTGTCATTTAAGGCGATGGTACCTTATGGTCTGGACCAGACAATCCAGTGATTAATATCATGAGCATCGATCCACGCAATTGGGATCGATGACATGAATCCACCAAGTCAGTGAGCCTGACCACCCGATCCCATTAGTCGCCCTTTACGACAAGCATAGTCGTCTTTTATGGCAAGTATGGGTTACTGAAGACTGTAATCTATGTGTATGTACATATAGAGTGAAGGTTGATAACGGTGTAGCCGCAGCGACGTCATACTTACGCAAAGTCTGCGCGCCTTCAGCCATGGTGGGTACGCCCCTGTAGGGATCAAAGACCCATTTGTAGAGCACAGAAGCTAGGACCCCTCCGGCGATTGGACCGACCCAGTAAATCTGTAACAGACATAAATTCTACGTTATTCAATGTCATGACAGCACGTTTAATGTGTCGTGGCGTATTAGTTCATCCAGATCATGTAGAGAATATTGATGTAGCCCATCAATGGATGAAGGGTTAAACCATCCAAACCGACGAGGTCAAAACCGGGTCACTATCCTCTGATCTCTCTCCCACTGACTGAAACTAGCATAGAAAAGTATCCACAAGAGATTATTGACCCGGTTGACTGAAACCCTATTCCTTCCGTGTCTTCTAGCTATTGTTGACCCTAATTGACTGAGACTCTACCCTTCCGTGTCTTCTAGCTATTGTTGATCCTAATTGACTGAGACTCTACCCTTCTGTGTCTACTAGCTATTGTTGATGCTAATTGACTGAGAGTCTACCCTTCTGTGTCTACTAGCTATTGTTGACCCTAATTGACTGAGACTCTACCCTTCTGTGTCTACTAGCTATTGTTGATCCTAATTGACTGAGACTCTACCCTTCCGTGCCCCTCGCCTTGTTGACCCCACTGACTGAAACATCTACCCCCTTCGTCCCCACTAGTGTCGTGAACCCAATTGTCTGTAACCCGACCTTGAAACACACCCTCTCCGTGAAATGCCTACAGTTCCCATTCCCTATTCATTGACGTGGTTGGCTGTATATGAGACGCTGAGTCTCGGTCACTACAGATCTCACGTTGTCACCTCCGGCCATATAAAGTGTAACTCAAAACCAAGGAGTGCCGCCATTGTTTGATAACAATCATGCACGACAAATTGTTAAAGCAAAGAAGACGTGTTATCCATGCCTATAGAACGTTCAGTCACTTCACATAGTGGATTCTTTCTTCGTGTAAACATGAAGGGCGCACTCCTCTAATAATGATACCTTTTTTGTACATCGAATCCGTTTCAGTGAAAGGGGATAACATCCTTATAACGACACTTAGTCCGATCTACCCTTTGTCATGGCACTGGACCCCATACAAAGAAGGGATGTCACACTATATCACGACACATGGGCTCGATACACATAAGAGACGCTACCAATAATCACGGCATCGAACCCAATACCATGAAGAGGGCTAGTCTTAATCAAGGCATCACACTTTTGACGATGATCAAATCATTTATCCGCGGAGATTCATACCAGATAAAGGAACTTACCCAGTGGTTTGCATAAGAGTTGGAGGCGACAGCTGATCCGAGAGACCGTGCGGGGTTCATACTCGCCCCAGTGTAGGAGATCTGAAGTAGTGAGTGATTGAGTTATTAATGTAGACAGCCTCCACGCGTCTAGTACAGTCCTACAGGTTGCAATAACCACACCGTATGATGGTCAGATCTGGCTAACATTGTGGTTATCCAACCAATGTTGTTGTTTGTTTGTTGTTTGATACCGCATTCAGCAATATTCCAGCTATATTAAGGCAGTCTGTAAATAATCGAGTCTGGACCAGACAAATCCTGTGACTGACATCATGGGCAATTTGGGATACGATGACACGCATCAACCAAGTCAGAGAGCCTGACCACCCTTCCCCGTTAGTCGCCCTTTACGACAAGCATGGGTTGCTGAAGACCAATCCTGATCTGGGTTTTCTCATGTGACGCATCCTTGTAAAATCAATACTCATGTAATTTTGAACACATATTCCGGTACTCAATCCTTAAGACACGCATGGGGGGCAGGGTTCCGTTTCACAAAGAATTTGACGATCAACGATCCAGTCACTTACATATTACACTTTAACAAAGTTATGTCAACTGTATTGTTACATTCTACAGCCCAAGACAGGGCGAAATCGTAAGTATGAAACGAATCCTTGACCACAAAGATGTCGAAACTCCCTGTATAACTTACACTTTGTGAAATGGGCCCCTGGGGACAACTTATGTGGATACCCACGGGGGGGGGGGGGGATCTAGAAATGCTAAGAGGCAGATATTCCGTCCCATGCCTGCAGCATATATCAGTAAAAATGTCCAAACAGTAAATACATATATCATCTGGTATGGATTTGTAACGATAACTTTTATTTCACTAATATTAAACAAAGAGGTGTTAATGCTTAGTTTTACATTATTGAATTGAATGCACTGTGAAAATACAATGTTAAAATACCTCTGAATTTAAGAAAGTAAGACCTTAATAAATCCAAATTCTGAACACAATGACGATTTTCCCGCAGTGTGCCTGCCAAGTGTATTTAGTCGGGGATCCTAGCTAAATCCCTGACCTTGGACGTATGGGTACGTAACAATCACTGTCCTCACCGCAGAGAAGTGACCCATAGCAACTGTTAGACCAATGGCCAATGAGGCGCTGCCGAAGTTTGGCCTGTTGGCGTCAACGGTGCCGTAGATGACGAAGACGAGGGTAAAGGTCAGGAGCAACTCCACCCCAAAGCCCTGAGCCTGGGTGACCCCCAGGGCGCTGTTGATATTGGTGACGGCCAGGTTCCCGTGGAAAGCCGAAGGCGTAACGCTAAAACAAAGGATGACCGAAGATGACCAAAATACGTTAAAAGATGGTACTTGTTGTTACCCTGCCTAGAGCTAAAACAAGGACTGGTCGGGTCGGAGTCTGTATATTGTGTCTGAGTGGGGTATTTATGTTAAACTGTGACATGGTATCTCAGTGGGTTAGCAATATGAAATCGTCACTTGTCCGGACTAGAAAAGAAAGCTGACACGTGCATGCACGTCGATTTTAAAGTGCAATAATCTTGGACGCGACTTTAAACCCAAATTAACCTCACCTAAGCACACCAGGAAACTATGATCGTGGTTCGAACCCCATATTCCTTCTAATTATCTTTCTAGGTTACCCGTACTCGGGGGTTTCATCAAAGTGCCTGACCTGCATCATTTCTCGCTTTACACATGAAGCTGACACGCCGTGGTACAACTGAAGTACTACTCGTGTCGGGGTAAGGCCTAACTCACTCTCTCGCTGACTCTTTTAAGACCGAGGCGCGCGTGTTTTTATGACCTTTTCAGATTTTAAAATTTTAGATGTACACTTTCACCTTTAACCCGGTTTAGTCGAGAGTATTTCCAGCAATGTGGGCACAGCAATTATCAGTGGTTATCAATACTTTCCTGCAGATATTCATAGATAATTCATGTGCGTGAACTTCCTAAATTATTCAGGGTAATATTTTACACTAGCTTGTATCTACATTCTAAACGCAAAAGTTACGGATAAATCCTAATAATTGTTTCAAAACTGTCTAGATGGGGGAACTAATAAAGTACTGATAATAAATAAATGAAATTGAAAGTAATAAGGGTGAGTTGACTTAACGCTGCACTGAACGGTATTTCAGTAATACCACAGCGTGCAAGCTTGAGGCGGGAGGAGAGTGATTTGGGTCATAGACCTGTTCAAGCCTAAAAAACAAGCTTGGTGATGACAAAATTATGGGAATCGAACGACCGATAGGCAGATCCTGATACGGCGAAGTGATGCACAACTACTGGGCCACATGGCGTTAAATATATCTGCACCATGATCTGGTCCCCATGTATTGTACATATTAACTAGATATTTGTTGTTTGACGCCGCGCTATTCCAGCTATAAATAATCTGTAAATAATCGAGTCTGGACCAGACAATCCAGTGACTGACATCACGAGCATCAATCTACACACAACCAAGCCAGCGAGCATGACAGCCCGATCTCGTTTGTCTTACGACAGGCATAGGTTGCTGAAGATCTTCATTGATCTATAAGTGGAAATTAATGTGGTAATTGGAGTGGTAATTAATGTCATGAGTGACACTGAGACAAGCATAAAGGTAATCAACAGCAGGCTTCCATTCGACTAAGGTGGCGGGTAGCTTGGTGGGCAAAGCGTTCGCCCGTCACACCGAGACCCGGGTTCGATTCTCAACAGGTGAAATGTGTGAAGCCAATTTGTGGTGTCCCCGCCGTGAAATGGCTTGAACATTGCTCAAAGCGGCATATCCATACCCACTCACTCATGCTACCTGATACAATCTATATGCATCATGTTCATCACTGTGACCTGTCTTGTATGTTGCTAATGACTATCGATAATGAACGCCTACATGTACGTCCGCAGATAGTACTCTGAGATAAAGATGCATCGGTCTGCGAATCCGTATCTCCCTCAGTCCGCTGATTGAGGGTTAGCATACCGAGCGGATACGGTGGGAGACAACAATTTCCTGTTCCATGCAGTGCTAATTGATAACTAAAGCAAGCTCGGGGACAGGTGAGCTGGTCAATTTGCTAATGAGGTTCATTGACAAAATCTACTTATGTCAGAAACGAAGAGGGTGGAGTGAGTGGGCATGACCGGGTTTTTTTACATATCGTTGTCGCACATGCTTATTTATACACTCTGTCCTCCAGTGGGCAGAATGTCCTCGGATCTGAGCAGAGATTGTAGAGTTTCAAGTTACAAAATGACATTCCATTAACAGGCTCAGTGCTGGTCCTTATGCAGAGGGGCCTGGGGATGGCTTATCTTAAGACATATAACGGAGATCATATCACCAAGCAAAACCCCTGTGTAACAAAGTATATACATCTGTGTGCTACCGGTAGGGCAGGACATGCGTACGCTTTTCACGAACAAATGTTGTCCTAACTGATTTGTTTTAAGTGATCTCTCCATTACAGCTATTTCTCCTTTTACGCCCAACGGAATTTGTTTCGTCGGATAAGCGAGACTGGTTGTTTTCTAGCATTGACGGTATATTCCATTTGGGCGTTAAATCGTATTGTTGGGGTCTAACTTCATAACATTCTATCCGTCTCTTACAGGTAACGCCAGCAATGGTTCAATGGCCCCCAAGTGAGTGAGTGGGTGAGTATGGTTTTACAGGTACTACACAAATGTACCACATACACTTAGGTGTACCCTAGCGTGGCAATACTAACGGCGCTGAAATGAAGGGGATTAAAGGAAACAGCACACTAGGTATACTACCCACACGATTGACATGACGTGACTGATTAACCCGATTTCGTGCATTGTGAAAACAAACAGTGCCGTACATACATTGCCGAGCTAATCTACACTAGAGTACATAGGTAGGTAATTGGGGGTACTTTTCAGTAGTGCCTGCGCCGACAACGATCCCAACAGCGTTGTGTATAATCGATAGTGTTATTAAGTGTATCAAACAGAAAACCGCTCGTGTACGCATGTCATACAGGACAACGTAATTATACATATTACCTTTAAGCGTGATAATAACGTGTATCGATCAGCGACAAGGCGCCGCCGATTTTAGTTTCAAAGTGACATTTTCATGTCATGCATTTTGCTGTTTACATTGAACGCTTTAAAATGAAAGTTTGATAATGAGAAAGTGAATACGTGCTTCTCGGCCTATTACCTAGCACAGACGGGCGGTCAGGTAGCCTAGTGGTTAAAGCGTTCGCTCGTCACGCTGTAGACCCGGGTTCGATTCCCGACATTGGTACAATGTGTGAAACCCATGGTGTCCCCGCCGTGACAATGTTGGAATATTGCTAAAAGTGGCGTAAAACCAAACTCACTCACTCACTCCTAGCCCAAACCCTTAATTATGTGTGCCGCGTAATTATTTTTCGCCGTGTGTTCAGCTGAGATATTTTCTGCATGTTAATATGATTATCGTAAGTACTAGAGTCTATGCATAATAAAAATGGTCTTTGGACGACTTGAATCAGCTTGGTAATTGAGGCAAATTGTGCCAAGACAATACATGTGACAGAAGCAGTAAGATTACACTGGTCGATGCTAAAGAGACTCCGCCAAGCATACGTTCCTCATAAAATCCAAGCTGATAAAAGACGAGATATCGTTAATTGTTAAAACTGACTACATCGATTCACTGTTCATATTCTAGTCGATATATTTATTGTTCTTCCATTTGACGAGAAATCACTAGCCAACTGAGAGAGTCGTCGTCACACTGATTGGTATTCAGATTAGATATAAACACTTTGTTAAAAGTTAAAAATGTCTTCTATTAAGTAACGAAATTAATGCGAAAAGTTCTGACACTTTATCGACCGTTCTATAAGATTCATCAAATGAAATTGGACAAAGACGGACATTCCGGAAACGTTAACACGGGGTATTCCAAACTACAGTTACGGTCCGTACGACTGATTCCGTCAATATTATCGTCTGTCTCTCGCTTCCGTGGGTCAAACATTTGAACGGAGGAGGCGTTGCACAGTACGTGGGAAGTACTGTCATACAATCTCAACCATATATTAGACATTCCGGAATGTTCGTTTGTTCAGTTTTCAAAATATTAATCGAGAACTGTGCCAACATATTTTTCAAGCGTTGTCTGAAATGGAAGTCGCCATGTTGAAACGAGTACCGTAAAGTTCGAAAAAATGCTTTCTAATTGGCTGATGTTTGTCATTTCAGTGGTCGGTCAAAGTTCGCGAAAGGTGGTTGTGACATGACCCGTAATGGGATGTCCTCAGATCTTTGTTCAGCGAGAACTTAGATCTGATTTTAATGAGATTGCCTTACTGCATGGACAGTAGTTCTACCCAAGAGGCCCCGTGATTGTCACCGCACCCCAACACAGCATGTTCTCACATTCGCCACTAAGTGCCGTACTGCATGGACGGTAGTTCTACCCAAGAAACCCCCCGATGGCCACCGCACCGCAGTTTAAGGACAGAAGCAAGTTCATGCCTCAGGGTGGTCACTGTCAACATGTTTTGTAATCGCTATGGAAGATTTAATTCAACCTGCATGACGTTCAGCATACAAAGACGTGATTTATTGGCGATGTTTAACTTTCACACACATCACATATTTGTTGAATTTGAACATGTTTGACGTTCTAAGTTTGTCTGTTTAATCCTGAATTTGCACACAAAAGGTTTTTTTTCTGTCTGTTTGTAAGGTTCATTTAATGCTGACATTTCATTCCAGATGACGATCCGGTTATTCAAATACGAACGATATTTACTTTTACCGTAGGACAGAATGGATTTCAAGTTCTATCGGCACTTTGACATAAGTATATGACGTAATCGTCACACCTAGTGGCAGTACAGGATGACTCAAGCTGAATACATTGCGATAACCATTATTTATTTAAAATAAACAAGAAAAATAACAAATCGTGTTTTACGAGTATAACATGGAAAAAGACGTGCTGCAGGTTCTATTTAAGCAATAAGAACAATCAGATAAAACTCGAAGTCCCGATGATCATGGAAAACACGTCGAGATATCAGTTGTTCGAGACAAGCGGAGCTGATATTAGACCCTAGCGTCGAAAAGGGTTCAGCCGGGACTATTAAGTTAAATGATAAATCTACTCGAAGAGTCAATGGCGTCTTGAGGCCCTTTCACACAGGGCTGCGACCTTTGTGCCAGGACGCTCAATGGTCGCCTTAACCAAGAAAATCATGTTTCTTTATAACTGCAACCACAATGAAACACTGCAGGTACAAGCCCTCTATTTATAGGCAGACTGAAGAGGCACTACAGGTAGCTCAAAGGAGGCAGGAAAGAGGCAGAAGCATTGCCATGGTGTCTCAAGGGTTGCCGTGGTCGTCGAATGGAGATACGGCGGTCGCCACAGTCATCGTTCAATGCACGCTGTTGGTCGCCCAAAAGAGGCTTAATGGAGGCAAGAAGCATCGCCCAGATTTACGGGAAAATATTTCAGAAGAGCGCATCAATAACCTAACGACCATTAGGCGACCACTGTGCCTTCCTTCTGCAACAACGGCAATGCTTCTGCCTCCCTTGAGCCACTTTTGAGCAACCAATCTCCTCGGCAACCTTTGTGCGACTGTTTTGAACATGTTAAAAAATTCACGGCGATCATGGCGTCCATGGCGATGTCTAAACCTTCTGTGTATCACCTTGGAACGACCTAGGCAACCATTCTGCCTCCTTTGAGCCTCCAACGACGACCTGGCAAATTCTATGTGTAAAGTGAGTGAGTGTGTGAGTTAAAGTTTAACGTCACATCGGCAATATTTCAGCCATATCGTGACGATCCTGTGTAAAGGCCCCATAAGATAACAGTATTGCATTGTACTGAAGTAATTATGTTAATATTTATTTTGTTTTGAGGGTTGCTGTAAGTGTGTATATACGTACCCCTTGAGAATGAATGCCCCGATGATAGCACCTATAGTCTGAGCCACGACGTACAGGAACGCCCTCAACACGGAGATGTTCATGGACACCGCCATGGCGATGGAGACTGCGGGGTTGATGTGGCCGCCGGACACGTGACCAAACATCTGGATCATTGCCATGATGGCTAGGCCGAACGCAAGGGATATCTGGGGGAAAAAATAAAATAAAAATAATAATAATAATTATCCCACTTGAAACCATCAATGTGTGATGATTTTGCATCAAAATGTATATATGAAATGTAGATTATGCAATGACTTTAATGAGACTGTCCAACACATTGTCAGTGGATGCCCAGCTTTGGCACAAACACGGTATCTTAAGCGACATGATAGAGTGGCTCGATCCTTTTATTACCGTCTTCGCCATTCTTGTGATTTTGACACAGAGGTCCATTCATGGTACGACCCAGAATATGTAGAGGGAGTCATGAAAAATTATAACTACAAAAGTCTTTGGAATAGGCCCGTATACAGCCTCGGATCTATCAAGGCCAACAAACCTGATCTTGTCCTTTTTGATAAATCATTGAATTTTCTATCCCTTTTGACACTAATGTGATTGACAAGATTCGGGAAAAACATGGCAAACATGCGGACCTCGTTTTCGAAATGTCATGCTTGCATCCTAAGTACTAAGTTGTCCGACTGCCCATTAATCTCTGTGCCTTAGGTTTGGTACCTCCCAATCTCTTGTCTGACAATGGGGGAGTACCCGGGTTTGCTGCGAGGAATACAGCCCTTCTGACAATCTGTGTATTGCAGAAGGCTGCAGTGTTGGGGAGTTCGACAAGGCAGCGCTTCCTGGGAGAAATCCCATTCGCTGTCTGGGTTGCGTGTAGAGGGGGCAAGGACCCTGAGCCGATGATGAGCCTAACCAGCCTGACTGTGCCAGGATCACCCAAACCCTCTTTGTTGCATTTTTATTTTAATCTGTTCGTAGTAATAATAAAACAAAATGATAGGCCACTTTAGTGAACAACCAACCACGAGCAAACCTAGAAACATCATCGGGCAAAACAGAACCCGACCACAGATTTCTGGCGTGCCCAAGGGACGCAACTCTACATATAGAATTGCTGCGCCTAAGACAACTAGACCACCCCTGCCCCCGAAAAGCTATGCGGTTCTGCACATATCCTCACATAAAATCCACACTGGCACATCTTTATATATAATAACACTCATGCCGTTATTTCAAAGCTTTGTTTGTTTGTTTGTTGTTTGTGGTTTAATACCGCACTCAGCAATATTCCAGCTATATGACGGCGATCTGTAAATAATCGAGTCTGGACCAGACAATCCAGTGATTGACATCATGAGCATCGACCCACGCAATAAGGAAGCGATGACATGCATCAACCAAGTCGGCTAGCCTGACCACCCGATCCCGTTAGTCGCCTCTTACGACATGCATAGTCGCCCTTTATGGCAATTATTTCAATACATGGAACATATTTTTTTTGGACAAAGCATTTAAATAAATATAATTTGAATCGCACATATACTAATCACATCAATTACGGTAAGGTTTCTCATTGTAGGAAAGTGCAGCTTGTCGAGGACCGGTTAAGGTCAACGAGGATTGAACGGATAAAGGGTAATAATGATAATAATATCCTTGTGTTGACCTCAGGGTCGTCGTGTTTTGAACCTACATATGACGAAGTACGTGTAGGTACCCAGCCCACAAGGGGTGCAACTCTGCACCTTAAAATGAAATGGGCATCATGTACGCATTTTTTGTTAGTCCGTCGTGCAGTCCTGTCGATGTAAAGGGGTACTGACTGCGGATAGTAACGTTACATGTACAAGTACAGTAACCTAGTTTATGTATAAGTTGATGCACGTTGAAGAGGGACTCTGCCTGGCCCCAATTTCAAGTGTACGTCTAGACATTTACATTCATTTGGTTATTTCCTTAGATGCTAAAGATACAGCTGTCTATTGCTGTTCAGTTTAGTATTCATCAAGTGCTAGATTGATACATGTTATGAAATTTTAACAAGAAGAAAATGTGGTGTTCGAAACAAACTTGTTTAATTTACGTTTTTAGTAACTGCCAATAAACTTGAGCCCAGTCTCCTATAAAGAGGTTGCATGGTCGCTTTTACGGCAAGCATGGGTTGCTGAAGACCTATCCTATTCTAACCCGGATCTAACCCGGATCTTGTACATAGGTCAGATCGCAGTGAAGTCGCATCCTTTTCCCATAGCTTTCATCCGGAGTTATCTTGACCAATTTCAGCGTTTATAACTTTAGTAACATGAGTTTGATAGAGTTAAGATCCGTATAATCAAGTACCTTGCAAGTAAAAAGACGAAATCATCCTGGTTACAAGATTGCATGAACTCAGGGTCAAAACATATAATACAGTACATTATGTCCATTGGATAAAAATCAGTTGGGATATATGTTTATGTTGTGCACCAGTACAAAATGACAAAATGTAGACGAACCGAGATCGTTGTGAGGGCTACTGACACGCATGCACTGAAGCGTATCGTGGCTACCACACGGTCACATCGAGCACGTGCTTTATGATCCTTTTCGTACATATGCTTATCATCCCCGCATTCATCAGTGGTCACAACACGGGTTTGACACACCTGAGAGTTTAAAAATAGACACTCGCGCATCAGGCCTCAAAGTTGCGACTAAATTGGTCGCCATGGCGATCTAGTTTTGTATTTTGCGACTGGTATTTTCATGTCAGTCGCCAACTGGCTCCTTGTCTTTAATTAAGTTTGGCGACTAAATATCTCTTGTCATTAGATATTAAAAAAGATCGTTTTTAATATAAGTGCGGTAACTTCAGTGAAAAAAATCGATATCAGAACATAACATCGACTAGATCACTGCGAGGCCATGTGTACTGTTTTCGCTTTCGATATGAAGCTCCATACCTAGGATGAAGGAAGCACTTTCCGTTATTAAGTAATGCACTAACGATGTTAAGAGTTTAGTACCCACGCATGCGCTGTAGGACATCCGCCCAGGCGACAGCTATGGCGGTCGTTTTGCCATTCAAAAACACGAAGTATTTTTCCATATTTGCGCAAGTCAAAAAACAACAAAACGTTGTCAATCGGCAAATGATGATTACCGTATTTTCTTGAGTATAGTGCGCACCCATGTATAATGCGCACCTCCCTCTAGCGGATTAAGTATTTTTTTGGGAAAAAATTCGAATACCAAGCGCAAAAAAATAATTACACCGTACACCTTTAGCGAAGTCCGGCAAACGAACGGGTGATGACAAACTTGGCCAGTACAAATTCGAAATTTGAGATAAAAAATCACCAGACATGTTGATTTACCGTTTAAGTTGTATTTTTTGTTCTGCTAGGCATTGTTTTATATCCAGGGATTCAGATTACCTTGTGTATCTTTTCGTAAACTAGGCCGGACACAGCAATCAGCTGTACACACATTTTCTTGGAATCTACCGGTGATTCAGTCAAGACACGCCCAATGATATAACTTTACAGGATTTTAATGCAAGGATCGGCAAAAATTGTATCTGAAACTATTTTTTAATCAGGAATAATATATTCAAATATCTTGTTAATTTAGATGCAGCTTTTACTAAACACATTTGAAATAATAATAACCCTAAGCGAAGCAGCTGATCGCTATTACCAGGTATTATCTTTTACACCGAACCAGTCTGACCAGTCACCGTCAAGGCTCCCGCGCATGTGATCGCGTGATCGCGAGAATTACGTATTGACATAGAATCGTCCAACAAAAACAAATATGACTTTTAACGAGACAAAGTATGGCATGTATGGGATGTATCCATTCTCTGTCAATTACAGTTCGTTTCAAGGCGTCAATAGCGGTAATCTGACCGTGGTTTCTGTTAATAACGGTGAGTTGTGCGATCTTCCGATCGCTTCACACACGATTTCGCCGAAATTTATTAAAACAATATTAAAGGGAATTTTGAATAAAATTAACAAAATAAGTTACAAACATAAGTCCAGATATACAAAGAACACCTTTTTATAGTCAGACAGTGTATTTACATGATTAATTTGCGTACTTCAGTATGGATTTGTTGACATGGTATTTCCGGTGTTACGTGCTTACTGTAATGTCTTTCCAGGGGGGAAGAAACATCAAAACTCATTATTTCGTGTATAATGCGCACCCCCTTCTACACAACTGTGTTTTTTGGAGAAAAAAAGTGCGCACTATACTCAAGAAAATAATGCTTTGAATGGCGAAGCTGACACGGAAGTTTCGTCGTCTGTCGACACGTTCGATAAACCAAAACCTGCAACTGGCACTGGTAAACTGTCTGATGATGTTACTGACACAATGTTCTCAAACATGTTTTCAAAAATAGCTGAATAGATGCACATGATTTCAATCACTGGGTTATTTACAGACCACTGTCATTTAGCTGGAATATTGCTGAGTGCGGTGTTAAACAACAAACCATCAAACAAAACAGAAAAAAACAGAACCTCGCCGTACATAGCAAACTACGGCATCGAGGGGAACGCTGGAGGTGAATAGTCCCTGAAAGCCTTCCCATGTCAAATGGTCAATCAAATGGTCAATCAGATATTTAACATCTCATGTTAATATTTTATCTTTTGTTTATTTTCAGAAAAAGGTAAGTGAGTATCAATTCAGAACACCTATCCAAAAAAATCAGTGCAATACTCCATGTTAATCTTCAAGCTGCAATCTCATAGCCTTCCTGACACACCTGACTCAGGTCAATCTCATATAAATCATTAAATGTGATCTTAGTTCTCGCTACCGCTAAATAAAGATCTGAGGACATCCAATTACGGTTCACGTCAGAACGACCATTTACTCAATCAGAGCGTCGCTTACTAGATCACGAAGTTCCAGTCGGAATTTGTTTTCTTATCATGCAACCTCGAAAAGGTCAACACGGCCTTGTACGACTGATTCCGTCAATCCCATCGTCTATCTCTCGCTTCAATATGGGATAAATATTTGAACGGAAAATACTTTACATAGCCATTCAATCTTAGCCATCTATTAGACATTCCAGAATGTTCTTTTGTTCAGTTGTCAAATACTAAATGGAGAATATTTGCCAAAATATTTGTTCACAAAACGTAATCTGAAATGGAAGCCGCCAGAGCCTAAAGCTCGAGAA